GTCCTTCCGGATGGCAACGGGAGAACCAACATGCAACTCAAAGCTCACAACCCCCCTGTGGTGGGCTCACTTCCCCGAGCTGCCAGCTGTCATTCCTTGATGCAATGTGTGCTAACAGGCAGGGGACAAGGGCCACGCAAGCTCCTGGGTGGCAGCGTTGCCCTGTGACCATGCCTGGCTCTGTTCTACTGGCTCACATGTAAGGAGGAAGACAGCAGTAGCAGCACTGACCCCCAGCTTTCGCCCAGGGCCTGCCTCTCTCGTGAGAGCAGTCCCTTCACCAGCTGCTATGCAAAGGTGACAGCAGATGGCGGCTGCAGGCCTGAGATGTTCCATGGTCCACAAAGGCCACGTCAGCAGGGATGATGCAATGTCGGGAGGAGAAAGAACATGTCTGGGCCTGTGAGATCTGGGCTCCATGCCTCACAGAAATGTCACAAAGAGGGCTCTGCAAAGCTATGCTGGCCTGAAGCTCCAGCATAGCCCACTCCTGGATGTGAGACCAGAGTGCCACCCACATGGCAGGGGGTCCTGGGGCCCAGGGCCCAGGAATGGCATCTCCATGCAGGGAGAAGAGTGAGGCCAGCTCTCATGACCCCCGTAGATCTTCTAGGGATGGAGGAAAACCTGAGCTTGTGTAAAAAGGGGTGCAGGCCACCCGAAGGCCTGCTAATGACATGCCCACAAGAGCGTTACAAGAAAGCCATGGCTACTTCAGACATATACAGGACATCCTTTTTGTGCCAGTATGCTAATTTCTGAGGGAGACAAAGTCCATGGTGTTCCAAGTCCTTGATGAAGAGGCTGGTGGCTGGAGTTTTGTAGAAAATGCGGCTGGGAATGGAGATGGCCATTCCAAAGTCACTAGCTAGCAGGGTGACAAAAGAAGAGCACAGGAATAAAAGTTACACAGGCGTGAAGACAAAGGCAACAGCGGCAACGGACCCCAACCCATCTACAGCAGGAGCAGGGCTGATGTCAGAGTGAGCGGGGAGGGACCCTGGTACCACAGGGGATGCCGAGGCGTCCGAGAGAGGTTGAGGCCCCGGCTGAAGACAGGGTGTCTGCCGATTCTCAGCCTTCTGCCTCTTGCAGCCAATGACCTCTCTGCTCCTATTCCATGCAGAAAGTAAAGCTCCAGAAGCAGGGAGCTAGCTCAGTGGCCAACACACCTGCCTGGCAAAGCACGAGGGCCTGAGTTTGATCCTGGTACCAAACAACAAAAAAGAGAAAAGCTCCAACTGGAGTTCACCACACACAGAGGAGGCGGGAGCAGCCGGACGAGAGGCCAGAGGCTGGCTGGGGATGAGGCCGCCTGCTCAGCAGTCAACACTGGGCGGGTAGGCACGGGTCTCTGAGCTTGGACCCAGGCTCCGTGCACTGCACCAAGGGGTGTACCCAAGGGGGGAAATGGGGGATGAACGCTGGCCTTTGCACTGCCCCTTGCTTTGCTCTAGCTCAGGGCTGCAGATGCCTGAGAAACAGGCAAGAGGTGCCTTCTACCAGCCAAGCCAAGTGTGCGGGGGTGGCCTCCGAGTGAACAGCTTTCCTGAAACTGAGCTGCACAGGCTGAGAGGAACCTGGTGTGTGTCCCTCTTTTCCAGGCAGAGAGCACTGGAGAGAGATGAGAAGAAATGGAACGAGTCCCAAAGAAAAGGTGTGCAAGGGCTGGCGGGTGGCAGGGTTCTCTAAGGGTGAGTCCAGCCCAGCTGGGGACCCACGCCTGTGTGGTGACGCACAGCTCCTTGATACATCACAAACAGAATCAGACCCACAGCATCACTGGCCTCTGGGGAAAGCGTACAGGAAAGACAACAACCAAGGCCAATCAAGAGAAAGGCTTAGGGAAACAAAGGCAAGCCAAGAGCAGAGAAGTTCCGCAAACACTGCCATGAACATCCACAGAAGACCTGCACCCCTGAATCAAGAACAGAACACCATGAAACAAAATCAGTAAACATTAAGGAAAAGCTCCATAAATTAACAACTGAATAAAACCTGCATACGGGGAAGACAACATGGAACAAATCTTCCCAAAAGCAGATAAAAAATGAGTTGAGAAAGACAAACATGGGTGGTCCCTAATGAAAGAATGCAACTATAAGAAAATTAAGAAACTTTCCATGAGGGCCCCCCTTGAGGCACAGCGGCAGGACACCACGGTGGAGGACATCGAGCGTTGGGGGGGGGGCTTAAATGTCCCCTGGGAGAACTCCCACATCACGGGGATCGGAAGGGCACCAGGAAGCTCAGCAACAATGGCTACAACCATGATCACGGCGGGAGATACAGCCTGCCTCCCAAACTCTGCTCTCAGCCACACCTGGGCAGGGACATTCTCAGTCATGCAAAACTCTCAACATAATCATGCCATTTCCTTCCCACATGTGCCTTCTTAGGCTACTAAAGAACATACTGAGGGACAGAGACAAGGGGAGGGAGGTTAAGAGAGAGATCGAGATCTTAACGGGAAATTTTGATTTCCCCTTAAAGAGAGCAGGAAGACAGCTGATAGAGCCAAGACAGAGCCAGCACTAAGCAGGGTCCAATGTCCCAAAGGTGGAGTGAAGCCTCCACTGTGGGATCAGCCAGCCAGCAGATAATGTTTCTAAGCTAATTAAAAAAATAAAGGATGAGCATGTTATGTAGAAATGCAAATGTAAGTAACAGAACAACTAAAAATGATAAAAGTGGCTACTTGCAGGGAGGGAGACTGGAGGGATGGCTACTTCTCCTTAAAAACCTTAAAGTATTTATTGTTTTTAAGACAGTCTAGTTACGTAGCCCCGGCTGGCCATGAACTCACAGTCCTACCTCAGCTGGGATTACAGCTGTGTACCACCATGCTGGGCTTAGGAGTATTTTTGGATTTTATTTTTTAACAAAAGCAAGCAATAGACTGGCTTTTCCAGCAGCCTTCTATGTTCTGCTTCTTTCATATATTTTCCTAAATATCAGTTCACTGCCAACTGGAACCAAAAGCCCATCAGGCGTCTTGCCAGTAGCTGTTTTAAAGAACATCACAGGGTGTAACAGGTGAGAGAAGCAGCCTGCAGAGACCTCTGAACAAGGTCTAGAGCTATAAAATGAATTGATTCCAGTGTGGGTCAGCTCTTCTTGGGCATCTAATCTGGCAAGGACTGCATGGTGCCCAGCGCTATACAATATCACATCATCTTTATTATCTGTACCTTTGAGCTTCTGATGATACCAGGGAGCTCATTAGTAGCCTGATTTCTGTGGAGCTCCTGGCCTTCCAGATGGAATTGCTCCAAGCTCCCAACAGCGCTTTCCTCAGAAGGATGCAATTCTCTCAGGGAGACTACAATCGGACGGCTTAAAGGTCAGATTTCGGCTGTCACCGACTCAAATGTGCTATGTAGCTTGTTTTGGTCATGCTGGAAGCCTGTAAGCTTGAAAGCCACTGTCTGAAATAGGCTTGCTAGGAAGGACTAGGATTCTTTCCTGCCAAGAATATTCCAAAAGAAGAGAGCGGGGCATGGGCTTGACGGTAAAGGAAATTTCCTTGTGGAAAAAAATATGAGAGCAAAAGAATGATAGACGGCCTAAAAAGTAATGGCTTTGTTTGGATGAGGATGTTTTTCTTAGCTGATTTCTCATTTTTTGGGACATTCATGGGTGGGATAAAAGCCTCATTTGAACATGGCAGCTCTGGACCAGGCATTAGGTGGCCTGCACAGTCATGGTGAATCAGTGAGAGCTTTGCCTCTCTGGGCTCGACTGGATAAGCTGACCCCTGACGCCCCCTCACCCCCAACAGTGTCCAACTCACAGGTTGCCTGACCTGTGCATTTGAGGGAAGGAAGAACGAGGAGGAAGACACAGTCTTCAGTGACCTGAGTCTTAGCAGGGAAAGGCTGGTGGAGGGGCTCTGGGGGAAAGGAAGATGGGAGAGGGGGAGAGATGCCTTTGGTCTGCCCCGCAAGCCCTTCCAAGAAACCCATCAGACCAAAGAAAGGATTCTCGTGGGTGCTCAGGGCACGCGAGTAGCCTACAGGATGCCCGCCAACTCCGGCTTTGGTGGGGGCTCATTCGCAGCCTACAGGATGCCCGCCAACTCCGGCTTTGGTGGGGGCTCATTCGCAGCCTACAGGATGTCCGCCAACTCCGGCTTTGGTGGGGGCTCATTCGCAGCCCAGTTCCTCCCGCTGCTGCTCGGGCTCTCTGCAGTGCCCCGTGGGACACCCTGAGGCTCTGCACAGGAGCTCTGCAGAAGGGGAGGGGGTTTCAGGGCCGGCCCCAGCCAGCCAGACTTCTGCTTTTAATGCATCGTCTAGACGGGCCCATCTCGGGTTTCATTTGACAGCAGCTTGCGTCCCACGGGTGGAGAAGGCTTGCAAATGGCAGCTCTACCTTCATCCAATCAATACAAAAGCAAATTAAAAATGCATCTCCCTGCCCCAGCCACCACCCCTCCCCAAAACTAGTGCGGCAGGGTGTGTGTGTGTGTGTGTGTGTGTGTGTGTGTGTGTTGTGGTTCACAAGAAAGCCTGCGCTGTCTGCTGGATTCTCCTTTCCTGGGTGTGCTTGCTGGGAACGTCAGCTTCACACTGCTAGGAATCCCCAGACTGCAGCAGGCCTGGGGACTTCTCCTCCCTGCACACAAACCCCGCCCACCTGGAGGAAAATAAGGCAGTTTTCATGCCGGTGGGGACCCAGCCTGGACGCCCGTGCTTTCTGACCAAGCAGACCCTCAGCTGAGATGTCCTTAGCTCAAGTTCATCCAGGATCTTAAAAATCCGCACGTCCAGGAGCTAAGCGCCAGGTTTTGGCCTACCATCAACTGAACAAGGCACACAGGACAAAACCCACCTAAGGATTCAGCCACAAACCTGAGTTCTGAGCACACAGCTAGCGAGGAAAGCATGCTCTCGGGGCTTACAGCAAAAAGAGGAAATACAAGAGCAAAACAGTGTGGGGGCCTCCATCTCCTGCGAGGCCTTTAACTCTACAGAAGTGGCTCGATCCTCAACCAAAAATGAAATGAAGAGACCCCTCTGCTGGCCGGGGTCCTGTCTTTTTTATTCCGCAGACACACGCCTCAGAGCCTGGTGATGTCCAGCTGCGGGAAGAGCAGCAGACAGTAGACCAGGAGCCAGAGGAAAAGGAGAAAATACATCATGTCCGGCTGCTGGACCAGCTGCGTCAGGGAGTCGCTCTGTGGGCTCTGGGGGCCCAGGGACTCAGCTTCTCCAGAGCTGCTGGGCTTCCTACAGAAGGAAAGACAGGACAGCAGTTATCCATGGGGCCCCCAGGACAGTGAATCACTACCATGGCATCTATATAGATGTTTCCCCAAAGCCTCATGTGGTCATAGGTGAGGCTTTTGGAGGTAGCCAGACCTGGGGTGTGTGATGCTGGGATTATGGGGTGGGTGTGACTAATTAGTGCACTGATTGGTTTAGCGTAGTTCTGGATGATGTGAAGACCCATTCTGGGTATGGGCAGCAACACCTAAAAGGCAGGTGGCCTGGAAGGGATAAAAGGGCGAGGCAGCCTGCTGCTGCCTGCCCACCTGCCCGCCCTGCTGTGGACTGTTTCTTGCCTGCCATGCCCCTCGGCCACAGCATCCTGCCATGGAGCCTACCAGCTATGGACTGAAACCTCTATAAACTGTGAGCTGAAATAAACCTTTGCCCCCAACCTGTGGGTGTTGGGTATTTTGTCTCAGCAATGAGAAAAGTAACCAAGACAGCTAGACTCAGCACAATGTGCCAGTTTGTACTCCATCCTCACCCCTGCTGGGAGAGTGGGAAGTCCCTGGCATGGCCAGGGAAGCTGGGCATTGTATATTGGACCCAAGGAAGGTGTCAGCCACCCAGGTGGCCCGTCCTGCTTTCACACACACCCAGTTTGTCTGTGCAGCACCACACAGGGGCTGTCAGCCTGATGTCACTGACAGGCAAACTCTGCTCATGGTGCTGTGGCTTGTACCAGGCTGCACAACTACTTTGTGACAGAGCTGATCCATGACCCAGCTGTCTAGGCCTTTATAGCAGAATGGCCTCTGAGCCTGTCAGCTCCCGGTGACTCGTAAGTCAGGTAGGAGACACTAAGCCACCTGCATAAGTGGCGAGTGGCCTGATGACAGATACTTTCAAAACAGCCCTGGGAAACAAATACAGAAAGATACCTCCGAGTTTTGGGTTTGGCTTTTCAATACAGCCTTTAAGGGAAGTATGAGATCAGATTTGGGCCAAGTGTATCTTTTCTTTTACTTCATCCTCCGGCAAAGGCAGGGCTCAAAGTGACAGCCTGCTTTCACCTGGCAGTCAGCAGGGAGCTAGTGGCAATGGGCCAGGAGCACAGAGCAAGGGCGAGGCCCGAGGCTGTGGGAGGGAAGGCTGGGCCTCAGAGTCCTTGGCCGCTTCGGAGTCTGGGGTGGAGATTAGGAGAAGCTGAAACTGCCACCGCTGCGCTATCCCAGCATGGCAGCAGTGGGCTGGCTTAGCTATCGTGCCACGTGTGGATCGAATGATCCGCGTGCAGGTGATGGCCCATGGCAAAATCTTTCTTAAAAGCACTGTCCACAGAAAAAATGTAAACTTTTTTAAAGAAAAAAATTTTTTTTAATTTCAAAGGTGATGGATGAATAGTCGATGTAGAAAAGGTATCTGCACGTGTCAGTGTTGTAGTGTCGACTTTCAATGTCTCTGTCTCGTAAGAGCTTAAAGTGTTCTTTGCCTATGAATATATTCAGCTTATTGAAAGCTGAGTTGATTAGTATTGCTGTTTGAGGCTGGGGAGGCAAGCTTAAGCGTTGCCTTCTCTTTCAGGAGCCAGGGGAGTGGCATTCTAAGGCTCTTAGAAGGGACCCATAACATGGGGGTTATACTGAATGCAGGCAGAAGTTTCCAATTCCAGTGATCAGAATCTTTCTCAGCCAATCTAAATCTATGGGGGGTGGGAGGGCAATAAAATTAAGCAAAACATGGGATGGGAACATCTCAGACTCCGAGGGAGTTTCCTGGTTTTCCATATTCTAAACAGGTTGTTCTATAGCAACGTGGCGCCGTCACACTAGACCGTCTAAGCTCTCCAGCAGCAGGAAATACTTTCATAGACATCCCGGCATGTTTGCATTCCCTCTTCATGTCTGCTCGGATGCCATAAAACTGTAAAATCAGCTCAATGAGCTTCTGCGTATTGTACCTGCAGTGACGACAGAATGAACACATTTGTCAGGTGCTACCAGACTGCAGGACACACGTGCTGCCACAAGACCCACCCTCTGCCACCTGGCTCCACCTTGGAGAACTCTCTCCTGCCGCTGCTCTATGCTCTATGTAAATGCAGCTGAGGGCTCACAGCCAGATCCGACTATGCATGGACTCATCTTCCGGCCCAGGCTCTGCCTGGCAGTGTTAGTTAATACCCATTTTCCCCTTCCACCCAGACTGGATTTCTATTTGCTCTCTTGAGAGCAGGTATTTGCCTGACTTCTCCAGAGATGTTAAGACTGTGACTGAGAAAGCATGGATGAATAAAACAACGCCTTCCCCAAGGTAGGCTATGTCGCAACACATGTTAAAGCCCCGCAAAATGTGAAGTAGAACAAAGCTACCAACCTGGTTAACATTCGGTTTCTTCTGTCATCCAGATCGGCTGCGTTCCTCAACTGAACAAAGCTAATATGGTCCTACAGTGAAATTTATAAACAAAACCCCAGCCACCCAATTAGTAAAGATGAAATCTCTGAAACAGAAAATAAGATGATTTTAAACACACAAAGCCGAGAGCACGCCACGATTTTCTTGACACTGTAAACATGTACTTCCCACATTAAACTATAGCCATCCTCTACCCACCCCCAACTGGTGACCAGAGAGGCCACCCACCTTCTATAACCCCACTGGTGCAGGGAGAGATGCGGGCCAGGCTTCGGGTCCCAGCACATCTGGACTCGGGGCTCGTAGACGGCAAGGGGACACTCTGTGTTGGGCCCCTACCCTGTGCGATTCTTCTGGCAATGTGTGCTGGGACGCGGGGATTAAGGGAGGGATCTTGGATGCATTCTTAGAACAAAGAGGCCTGCGGACTTTAAAACCGTCACTTTTATTTACATCCCTAACTGGATAGCCACTTGGATCATGATTAATGACAAGGTTTCAAAGCGCTTGTCTTCTATGCCAAAGTACAGCTGCTGCACCTCAGTGAGTTCAAAGCTCTGGGTAAGGAGGAGGAAGGATGCAAAGCAACTGATTAGCTGGGGCTGAATGAAGAAATTCACATACTAACCGACTCCAAAGATCTATTAGCATGACGTCGAATGTAAATGCTGGAGTCGCTGTGACTAGTCCTGAAAAACAAAGACAACATTTGAATGGGTGCCACCTGCAGCTCCGGTGGCTCCAATGTGTGGCTCCCCCCCCCCAAGCCTTCCACAATTGGGTTCAGACAAGTGACAACTAACTTCAGACTCAGGGACAGGAATGGCAGCCTTCACGCAGTGTGTGCATATCGCAGGAACATGCCTGCGAACACTAAGCTAGACCCAGAGACAGACAGGGCCCTCGATCCCTGCCCCTGCCCAGGCCCTTCCCACCCCCAAGGCTGCTCATCTAGCCCCAGGGTGCACCAGCTCTTCCCATACACAAGGACGCTGACTGTCAGACCAAATCTATGAGGCTGACATGGAATGTGTCACTGCCCTGGAAACCCAGGATGGAGGCCAAAACGGTCTGGGCCTGTCCTTCCAGCTGAGACCTGACAGCTCGGGTCAGTTTTCCTCCTCCGTAAATTGGGTTATGATTCCCACCCCATTTCTCAGGGAGCTAGCTGTGCTGGTGGAGGTAGAAGCGCCAGGCCCTGTTCTACTGCTTCCTCAAGGTCACCTGGGTGGCCTCCTGGGGTCTGGGACAAAGGCTAAGAGATCCAAGGTCAGGGTTCAAACCTGACACGTCTTTTTTTTTTTAATTTTATTTATTTATTTGTGTGTGTGTGTGTGTGTGTGTGTGTGGCCAGCTCAGCCCACCAGGGGGCGGGGCGGGCTGGCATATGGTGCTGGGGGATTGAACTGCGGTCCCTGTGCTTTGCTAAGCTTGTTCTAAGTAGGTGCTTTAGACCACTGAGCCATCTCACCAGCCCCTGTTAGAACTTAACACAAAAGAAAGGTAGCTGCAGAAAAGGGGGAGGGGCAAGCAAGGCGCCCTCCCAGAGAGGAGGCGCTTTTTAGTAGGAGAACAGGACACCTCTGCATCCCAGGGGACTACAGCGGGGACCGCAGCATGGCCTGGCTCTGCTTCTCTCTCTCCTCCCCTCAGCTCAGCTCAGCCGCTCCTCACTGCAAGTTTCCACCCTGAGCCTCATGGACCACCAGCTCTGCCCCTCATGAGCAGGCCTAGTAGACATGAGGTGGGGTGAGCAAGAGTTTTATGTGACTCTGTATCCCCACCCTGTCCCTGCTGCCCCTGTACCTGGTCTCATCAGAAATTCCAAATGGAATGAGGTCAGAGTGACTCTGGCTCCACCTCTAGGGCAGAAGGACATTATTAAAATACCTGGAAGGGACCCTGTAGTCGCCAAAGTCATCTTCCAGCTCATCTGAGGACTGAACCATCACAGGTGCTCTGTATAAGGAGCTTTCTACATGGTCCACGTGTTTCCTTTTCTCCTTTTTTTTACTGCTGGTTGATTCTTCCATTACCTTTTCTTCTAATGAGTTTGCTATGCTTTCAGGGTCTGGGAATTCTTGGGGCTGAAAGACAAAAGAGCCAAAGACAAGTTGAATTTTCTGCCTGAGATGGTGACACTGCCTAGCGTGCTCCGCTAGGTGACACTGCCTAGCGTGCAACCCCCATGCAGCCTCCACACCCACCTCTTGAAGATCCCTTGCCCACCAAGCCTGCCAGAAGGGGAGCACACCCCAGCTCCTGCTCCTCAGGCAGAAGTTAAAGGCTACAAACTGGTGGGGGAAGCGTGACAGGTTTTAGAGCCAGGAAGTTCTGGTTTTAGTCCTGGCTGAGTCAGTTCTTTGGCCTGGAGAGCCTGCCTTTCTCTCTGCAAGCCTCGTCTTGTCTGTTAAGTGGGCACAGTAACTGCTGACCTCTTCCTCGGGGCCACAGGGAGTCCTAGTGAGGACATCCACTGCATCCAGGAATGGCTGATTCCTCGCACACCCAGCATCTGCTCAGCAGAGGAATGAGTCCCCACAGCCAAGCGCACGCACAAGCAGGTGCACGGTACGCAGAGACGCCTCCACTGTGCCTTGGCGAGGAAGATCATAGGCCACATCCTTAGCATTTGATCAGTAAAGAAGATTCTCTGACCATGGTCACAGCAGACACATGGAACCCATCAGCACTGCCCCAGGGACACCCAGAAGCAAGAGAGCTGAGGGCTATCCCCAGGACCCCTTAGGGCTGGAAAACCTGCCCAGAGGATTTCCCAGCAAGAAGGCCGCAGGATAAAGCTCAGCCAGGAACTAAAGGGAACTAATCAGCAAGCTGATTCCAGTCCCTCTCCCATCATTCCTGGGCTGATGCTGCCTTTCCTGAAAGGTGATGGAGAGGGTGTGTGTGTGTGCGCGCGGGCGCACGTGCACGTGCACGCGCACTGAAGACAACTCGGGGCCTTCACACAGAGCTGGTTTTTGAGACAAGGTCTTGTGAAGTCACAGTCACCCAAGCTGGGCTCAGACTCTGGAACTCTCCTGCCTCGGCCTCTTAGTATGCTGCGATTACAAATCCTGCCTGCGGACTCAAAGAAAACCAAAACACTAGAAGGTAAACTTGTCATTTTCTAGTGCTCTTGGCTTGAAAATATGTTTTTTTCCTTTTTCTTCTTAAAGGAGGGAGGTGATGTGCAGACAAGGGTGCAACTAAGGTAGCAGGTCAGAGCTGGGGACCCAGGCAGTGAACCCCGCTCCTGGACCTAGGGGTGGCTGGCCAGGTGAAGGCAGTGGGGTTGCACCAGCAAGACAGGTGCAGGGTGGGATTCTTCCTCTCCTGGCCACCAAGATTCCAGGAGCACAATGACCCCCCTTTTGTCCTCCAAGAGTTTCTTGGGCCATGACGATCCAGAACATCTCCCCAGTTGTCCCTGCAGCCCAGTGTGGGGACATTAGGCCTGACCTACCCAGAGGCTAGTTCTAACCCTGCTGGGTCACTACAGTCTCCTGCAGAGAGCACTGCAGGGCCAGGGGCCATTCTGTTCTCTTGAATCCACAGCTTATTCCCTAGATGCTCACTTTCTCCTCAGAAGAGAAAAGTGAACCCCATTAAGTTAAATGCCTAGGAAGTGTGCCTCAGCCATGAGCCACCATCCTACCTGGACAGAGCTGGGAGCTGGGGGGCACCTGGGAGCAGGCACCCTTTGCACGGGCTTTGAAAGGTGAGTAATAGCTCTCTGGGGGACAGGTGGGGAAGGGGGATCCAGAGGGTGGGGGCTCCCGGATCAAAGCCAGCGTGGGGATCTGGGAGCCTGGAGGAGGCCTGAGTGGGAGAGGCCAGGCTGGACACAGCAGAGTCTCCAAGGTCATGCTGGGGCCTTGGACTTGATCCTGGAGACCGAGGCAGAGGAGTGACAATGGGACTTGCAGTGGAGGGCTCTGTGGGCTGTGTAAGTGGCCAGGCTGAGGTAAGAAGGGACGGGTGAAGGCACCCAAGCCACCCTGCACAGCGGGTCACACCTGCATCAGTGGGCCAGATCTCCCCAGAACTCCTCACTCAGCTCTGGGCACATCGCCCCCCAGCAAGACCCTGTGTCCCCAAGGGCTCCCCCTGTGTCTGCTGCCCTTCCCTCATCCCGTGGCTCCTGGGCAACCAGCATCTGGAGCTAGGCAGCGCGGGCAGAATCTTCCTGGGGATCCTGCGCACACCACTCTCCACCAGGCTGCGGGGGCCTTGTTCTCCTCCCGGCTACCTCCCTGTCCACACCCGACTGGCAGAGGCAGCACCCCCGTGGCCTGGGTCTTCCTGGGCCTCAAGGTTGCAGAGGGGAGCTCTGATTCCCGAGACACCGCATGAACCACCTCCCTTTCCTCAGTCTGCTGTCTCTGCCCACTGCCCTTGGAAGTCAGACCTGCCCTGCATGCTTGCTCCCTGCTTGCTCTGGAGCTGCTGGGCCCAGGGACCAGAGGCTAGCAGTTTTGTGTCCTGCGAGAGTGAGCACCGCCCTTCCCATTTACACACCCACAGCACACCCCACATGCCAAAGGCCTGGAAGAGTCACGGCAGGAGGCCAACACGGGCTTTCTGGTTCCCCAGCATCCACGGGAGATGAGCACAAGTGCTCGCCAACAATGCTGGACAGTGGCCACCACGCTGGTTCCACAGGGTCCACGTTCCTACCCTTAGAGACCCTCCCCCTCGATCTCACACAACCCTCTCAGCATCCTGAGTGGGGCTAGGAGTAAGGCCAGCAAAGTGTCTGGGTTGCAAACTTCAGGGGGGCTCCCTCTTGACTGCCAACCCTACCCCCGTTCGGGCCCCCCAGAGAGCCTCTGTGAACTGCACGGTGGGCACTGTGGGGCTGTCCCACACCCCGACCTCGTGGAGGAGGTTGAGAAAAGTGCACCCCCCCCCCAGCAGGTCCCAAGGGCTCTGAGCCCCAATCCCGCACCTGGTGGCTCTCCATAGCCTCGCTGTCTCGAGACTCCCTTGGCTGCGGGTCCTCGTACAGGCCTGGGGGAGCGGCTCCCGAGGCTAGGGTGGCCTCTGTGGTGTGCCCAGAGGGAGGCAGCACCTGGCTGCTGGCGCTGGAGAGCCCCTTGCCAGGGGCTGAGATGCTACAGCTGCTCCAGGAGCCCTCGGTGTCCTGCTCTCCGGGATCCAGGTCAGGCAGGTAGTCCCTGTCTCTCCCATCCTCCGTGCCTTCTGCATAAGCCTCTAAAACTGCAGAAAGGGGCACCTCGTAGTGCGGGAAATAGAAGAGGTCGTGGGGAATGACAGAGATCTTGGAGAGGGGTGGGGAAGGCTTAAAGTCGAGGCCTTCCTGGCTGTGACTGGTCAGGGTCTCCAAGCTGATGCTGGCCCTCAGGGAGCTGGAGGACAATTCTTCCGACTCTTCACCGAGCCCCAGGGGGCTGTCGGCTTCCTCTTCCTCCTCACTGTGACGCCGGGGAGACTTTCTCTTGGCCTTTTCATGTACAGGTGTCTCTGGCTTTCTGTCCCTAGGTATCTCTTTTGGGGATGAAGAGTAGCTTGGAGGCTCTTGTGTAGCACCTGCAGGGGGCCCGTGCCTGTCACACCCTACTTGGGACTCCTGGGCACAGTTCTCAGAGGCCGCAGCTGCCTTCTCTGCACCTGCTGTCTTCTTGCCAGGAGGAGGAAGCTCACTTAAACCCTGGCTGGTAGAAGCAAAGTCTACCATGTCACCGGTGACTGTCACGGCTCTTGATGGAGCACCTTCTGGACAGCCTTTTGTCCCCAGAGGCTCTGCAGTCTGAAGCTTGACCTTGACCTCTGTGGTGCTGGCTAGGACAGTACTGATCCCAAGGGGCAGGACAGAAGGACGTTCTGCCCCACAGCCCCCTGGTCCCTCTAAGGCTCCACTGAAGGAAGAAGAATCCTCAGGTGGCTGCGCGTGACTCGCTGCACCACGGGCTCCAGGAACCTCACTGGAGGCTGGCTCCGGGATCGGCGAGGCTGCTTCTTCCGGCTCCCCTTCTTCTGCATCGTCCTCCACTGAAGCGCGCCCGCCCTGCCTCAGCAGCTCCCGTGCGGGCCTGGGGCTCCCTTCAAAGTGAAAGGCTGGGCTGTGGAAAGGCTCCTGGCGACCGGAGGTGTCCTTGTCAGTGACATCCTCAAAGTGGACGGTTTTCTTGGTGGGCGGCAAGCTGGGCCTACGGCTGTCCCTCCTGGTGGTCAGCATGAAGAATTCAGAAGCAGGCTCACTGGTGCTGCTGGTCGTCCCTGGGCCCCCCTGGAGGACTTGGTCGATGATCTGGTGCACAAACTCGGCGGAGCTGTCTGACAGCGTGCTGCTGGGCATGCTGTCTGGGCATGGGCCCTGAGAGCCCTCGGGACGGTCACAGACAAAGACTTTGGCAGGGGGTGGGTGGCTGGCTTCATGGTTCACGGTGTAGGTTCGCTCCCCATTCTGTGTGAGGAGGAAGACCTTGCTCTCCTGCTCAGAAGGAGTTTCTCGGATGCGGACGAAGGTGGACTCGATGGGAACTTCTTTATCTGGATCCACGAAATCTTCCTGCAGAGAAACACACAGCAGGATGAAAGAGAAAGGTCAACCTACATGCAGTCTAGCTCCCCCTGGAGCAGAAAGGCCACTTCAGAACTAAAGCGAAGTATTCCAGTGACAATGAGAAGGGTTACAGAGCAGTTCTGTTCCTGCCGAAATGTGAAAACACCAGAGAAACACAAATGTAAAACCCTGTGCTTTGAGAAGATCGCAGATGGAAAGAAATCTCACTGTTGGGCGCTTGTACAGCATATGTGAGGCCCTAGGGACAGCTATCAGCACTGAACGAGAGAGAGAGAGAGAGAGACAGACAGACAGACAGAGACGAACAGACTGAAAGACAGAGAGAGACAAAGAAAGAAAGAAAGAAAGAAAGAAAGAAAGAAAGAAAGAAAGACAAAGGGAAGGGGACAGATAAAAGGAGAAAGGGAAGGAAGGAAAGTCGGAAGGGAGAAAGGGAAAGGAAGAGAAAATCAAAGAGAAAGAAAAGGAAAGGAAGAAAGGAGAGGAAGAATGAAAGAAAGAAAGAAAGAAAGAAAGAAAGAAAGAAAGAAAGAAAGAAAAGGAAAGGAAAGGAAAGGAAGGAGGAAAGAAATCTCTAATTGTTAGACTCTAGAGGAGATGGAGCCTTCCTCCTGTTTTGCCCCCAGGAACCACTGCCAGTGTAGACCAGGGGAACGAGTCCCCCTTAGCCAGCGCAGAGGCAGCAGGCACTGTGGGCTGGGGTGAGAGGCCAAAACCGAAAGGGCTGCAAACACAGAATCAAGTCCTGCCGTGGACTAACATCCTACACCGAGCAGGGCAGCAAAGCGCAGCATGACCTTGGGGGTGCTCAGCTGCAGTCTGCACTGGCAGACTGACCTGACCTTCAAAGCAACTGAAACTAGAGAACTGAAATCCGATAAAACTGCAGCACACAAGCACCTACTTGACAAGTGCAAGGTCCTAAGTTTGATCCCTGGTA